TTTTTTTTTGAAACGTAGTTTCGCTCTTGTTTCCCAGGCTGGAGTGCAATGGCGCGATCTCGGCTCAGCGCAACCTCTGCCTGCCGGGTTCAAGCGATTCTCCTGCCTCAGCCTCCGGAGTAGCTGAGATTACAGGCATGCGCTACCACGCCCAGCTGATTTTGTATTTTTAGTAGAGACAGGGTTTCTCCATGTTGGTCAAGCTAGTCTTGAACTCCCGACCTCAGGTGATCTGCCTGCCTCGGCCTCCCAAAGGGCTGAGATTACAGGCATGAGCCACCATGCCCAGCCAAAAGATTTTTTTTCATTTAAAATGAAACCGGCTTTTGGTTTCATTGATTTTCTCTATTGTTTTTTTCTGTTCTCTGTTTTGTTTATTTCTGCTTTAATTTTATTATTTTCTTTTTTTCTGCTTTGAGTTTAGTTTTAGCTTGATGTTCTCCTTCTGCTTAAGGTAGAAAGTTAGGATATTGATTTGAGATCTTTCTTCTTATTTAATGTAGGTTATAAATTTTCCTCTAAGCATGGCTTTAGTTGCATCCTAGAAGTTTTGGTATGTTGTGTTATTTTCATTAATCTCAAAGTATTTTCCATTTTTCTATGACAGAAATCTCTTGTGATTTCTTTCTGACCCATTTTTATTTAGGTATGTGCTGTTTAATTTCCACATATATGCACTTGAGAAGAATGTATTCTTCTGTGGTTAAGTGAAGTATCCTTTTCATGTCAGTTAATTCTGATTGGTTTGTAATACTGTTCAGTATTTTCTTATTAATCTTCTGTGTAGTTTTGTCCTTTTCTGAAAGTGAGATATTGAAGTCTGAAAAACTAATATTTTTGAGTTGTCTGTTTCTCCTTTCAGTTCTTTCAGTTTATGTTTCATATATTTTGGCATGCATGCTAGGTGCATGCATGTTTATAATTGTTATGTCTTCTTAGTTGGTTGATCCTTTTATCGTTAGAAAATGTCTTTGTCTCTAGTAACAATATTTAATAATAGTTATCTAAAAGACTATTTTTTGCACTAGTATAGTCACTCCAGCTCCCTGTTGGTTACTATTTGAATAGTATATCTTTTTTCATCATTTTTCAACCTGTTTGTGTCTTTAAATGTAAAATACCTCTGTTGTAGACAGCATATAGTTGGATCATTTTTTAAAAAATTAATTCTGCCAATCTCTTATTTAATTAGAGTGCTTAAACCTTTTACATTTAATTTAATTACTAACAAGGTGAGATGTATCTCTCCCATTCTATTTGTTTTCTATGTGTCATGCCTTTCATGTTCTGTTATTGCTTTTTTTATGTCAAATAGATATTTTCAAATGTACCATTTAAATTTCCCATGGTTTCTTTTGCTCTATTTTTTTAAGTTATATTGTTAATGTTGCCCTAGGGATTACAATTAACTTCTTAACTTATAACAATTTACTTCGGATTAATACTAGCTTTATTTTAATAGTATACAAAAGGCCAGGCATGGTGGCTCATGCCTGTAATCCCCGCACTTTGGGAGGCCGAGGTGGGCAGATCACCTGAGATCAGGAGTTCGAGATTAGCCTGGCCAATTTGGTGAAACCCCATCTCTACTAAAAAAAAAAAAAAAAAAAATACAAAAATTAGCCAGAGCAGTGGTGCATGCCTGTAATCCCAGCTACTCGGGAGGCTGAAGCTGGAGAATAGCTTGTACCCAGGAGGCAGAGGTTGCAGTGAGCCAAGATCGCGCCACTGCACTCCAGACCGGGCGACAGAGTGAACTTTGCTTCTGTATCGCTCAATTTCTTCTCATCTCTTTTATGCTGTTATTGTCATATAAGTTACGTTCTTATACATTGTGTGTCCAAAACAAATTTAAAATTATGCCATTGTCTCTTAAGTCATATAGGAGAACAAAAGAGATACAAACAAAACATACATTTATCCTGTCTTTTATATTTGCCTATACAGTTACCTTTACCAGTGTTCTTTATTTCTTCATGTGGATCTGAGTTACTGTCTTTTAACTTCAGTCTAAATTTCCTTCAGTCTGAAAGACTGTATTTTATTTCTTGTAGGGTAGGTCAACTAATGATTAATTCTCAGTATTCTGAGATAAATTTTCCAGTTTATTTGAGAGTATCTTAATTTCTCCTTCAGTTTTGTAGAATAGTTTTCGCTGGATATAGAATTTTTGGTTTACAATCTTTTTCTTTCAGCTGTTCAAATATGTCATTCGCCTGCCTCTGACCTCTGTGGTTTCTGATGAGTAATCAGCTCTTGATCTTTTTGAGGATTATTTGTAACTGAAATGTCACTTCTCTTGCTGCTTTCAAGATTTTCTTTATGTCTTTGGCTATGGATAGTTTGATAATAATGTGTATAGGTATAGATCTCTTTTGACTTTATCCTATGTGAAGTATACTAAGCTTCTTGGATGTGTAAATTCACTTTTTAACATCAAATTTAGGAAGTTTGGGGTCATTGTTTTCTCAAATATTCTTTCCATTCCTTCCTTTTCTCCTCCCTTTCTAATCTCCTGTTATGCGTATGTTTGTATGCTGGATGGTGTTCTCCAGGTCTCTGAGAATGTGTTCATTTTTCTTCATTTTCTTTTCTTTTCATCATTAGACTGGATAATCTCCATTGACCTATCTTTACCTCCTTTGATTCTTTCTTCTGCTTTCTCAGATATGCTGTTGATCCTGTCTAATAAATTTTCATTTCAGTTATTATACTTTTCTACTTCAGAATTATATTTGGTTACATATGACTTCAGGGAACAAAGAAAAGTGACAGATCACAGAGAACAAACCAGTAACTTTGGAATCACGAGCAAAAAGTTCAAACCTACCGAGCCACAGATGAATGACTTTCTAAATGCCTTGAATACCACTACCTCAGCTAAAATTAAATTCTGTCAGTTTGCATCATAGTAGTATCACATTGCATGAGACTTTTTAAACTGCAAAAGGTTCACGTGTGATTCTCAAGCTATGTCACATCATGAGGAAACCTTTTAATTTTTTTTTTTTTTTTTTTTTGAGACAGGGTCTCGCTCTGTCACCCAGGATGGAGTGCAGTAGTGCAATCTCTGCTCACTGCAAACTTCGCCTCCCAGGTTCAAGCGATTCTCCTGCCTCAGCCTTCTGAGTAGCTGGGACTACAGAGTAGTGTACACCACCTTGCCCAGCTCATTTTTATTTTTTTGGTAGAGATGGAGTTTCACCATGTCTCCTAGGCTGGTCTCAAACTCCTGACCTCAAGTGATCTTTCCACCTTGGCCTCCCAAAGTGCTGGAATTACAGGTGTGAGCCACTGTGCCTGGCCACCTTTTAAATCTTTAACTTCTGAAACTTCAAAGGTTCAGGTCTTCTCTGAGCTCTGCCGTCAGCTGACTCTTGGCTTTAACTAGAACATTCACATCGCTGGGATTATTTTCCCCACCTGTCAAGTAAGGTCGCTGGACTGATCTTTAATGTCCTTTTCTGTACTAATGTTTGATAGGTCTAAGAGTTGCCATTTTTGATAGATCTGTAGGATAGAAATTATAATAAAACAGAGAAAAATTAAACCAACCCCCTCTGCCATTTTTAACCTGATAAGAATTACTGAATTGCAGAAAAAGAACTCATCAAACTTAACAGGAACTCTTAATCCTGAGTGGATCTGCCACATCGTTTTTTCACCGATGACATTTTTCTCTAATGGACATGAAAAGGACAAGATGAATCAGTGATGGCACAGAGCCAGCTGTGTAAAGATTTAGCCATATGAATAGTTAAGGAAAGCGGGTCTAACTGAGGTTAAAAACCAGTGAACTACCTCAAAATTAGATTCCTTTTTGGCTTCTTCTACTGATAATGGTGGTAAGGTAATCTTTGCTTTTTGGGTTTAGCTTGTTGAAACCATTGTCCATTTAGTTAATTAAGTCCTGATTTATATCCTTTGTAAAAGTGAATTCTCTTAGAAGTTGTTACTGGTACATCTGGATGGATTTTCACCTCCTAGTTTTAAGCCATTCAGGTCATTCACTTCATAAGGGATTGGTCCAATAAGCTGCATTTGTCAGTCTTGCAAATACCAGCATGTAAAGCTTGATCTTTTTTATTCTGTTTATCCTTCATACTGCCAATTTATCTGAAAGATCAATGAGAACATAAAATGTTTTTCTGCTGTATTCTCACTTTTATTACATCTGTAATAAAAATGTCATTTTAGTAAATAAGGATGGTTCAGTTCATATCAGATTTTTTGTCATTATCTTCCCAGTAGCACCCAGAGCCAAAGTGTAATGTTTAGTTACACTTTGGTTTCCCAGTTTCTTGTTCAAATCTGCAAACTATGAGCAAAGGTTAACTAACAGTGGTCATTTTTCTGTATCTGCTTTAAATGGGATAAATATAAAGCCAGTAGCCATATATATAATATATGCATGTGTCTGTATGCATATAAAAATATTTGTCAAATACTCTGAAATAATTTTTTTGGAGAACCGAAAGACTATACCTCAATTTGACTCTTAAAGAAAGATGATTACATATTGTTAAAATAGATCTCATAATCATATCATTAATGAGCAAAGTGGTGGTTCTCTGCATATATTCCAGCTTTTATTGGATTAATGTGAAAATTCTAAGATATTACCCGGATTTACATTTGAGAAAAACTGTTACAAAAGGCAGGCACCTAAATGTAATTGTCATATTGATCTTTATAATTTTGTGTATGTATTTAAGTTTACATAAAGTATAGTTTCTTAGCTTGCGTTTGACTAGTTTCTTTCAGTTTGTCATGTATGCAACTATACACTTCAGAATAAAATGAAAATATCCACTTATACTTCATCAGGAAGTATGATTATGTTATAGATAACATTGGACTAAAAACAAGTTTTATACTACACATCCAATGTATGGTGTAGGAAGTGTAAGAACATAGTCTCACAGTGAATACACAGGAGGAGCCCAGTGCATTGTTCGGGTAGTTTCATTTGTAGTAATATGGCATGTTTATCTCTACAGGGGGATCTTTGGATGTATATAGGAAAATGCCAGAACACGTCCTTGGAAGAATTGCAGTAGCAGTAAGTATATGGCTTCAGTTTTAGGAAATTTGAGTGATTTAATCCTTCTAATCAAGCTCACTCTTCTTATATTCTCAATGTCTTTTCTTGTTCTTCAATCCCAGTTGGCTCCCAAGACCTTCTTGACTTTCTCCTGTTTTGTTCTTTCTTCTTTTCATAGACCAGCCCACCCACCGTCACAACATAGTCATACACTTATGTATTCCAACCTGTTCTAGTTTCATGTGTTTGCAGGGACCTTGCTGTTCTTGTTGACTCGTAAAATTTCCAAGTTGTTCTTAAAAAAAAAACAAAAACAAAAAAACTGCTTTTTTGTTTTGTTTTTACATTTTGTAGTTATGATTAGCATATGTTTCGCAAATACTTAAAAAGTCTGTTATTAAAGCAGTCTATGAGAAAACACTAATTTGTTAAGAACAAAGTAGTATTAGTAAAGATTTTTTGCAGTCTTTTTATGTTCTTGGTTTTTAATTTTTTCATCAACTATATCTAGAAATTTATTCCCTTTGTGATTTAAAGCAGTTTTTCCATATTCATGTATTTTCTATATACACTAATATACTGATGAAATTGAACTAACATTACTATAATGTTCTCATAAGTTCCGTATTTCACATTTATAATAATGTAGGGTAAACAGTGTCTGAGAGAAGTCATGGGGTGGTGTAATAGTAAACAATTGCTAAGCTAAAGGCACTATGATAACTTCAGTGGTTTATTGCAGAACAAAGTGATTGTACCATGTACCATATAATTAAATGGCTGATTTTCACGTTCATTATGCATCAGACTGACAACTCAAATTCTTTAATCCAACATGGACACTTATTTAGTCTTAGTTCATTGTAATTCACAGCTTTCCTTTTTTCTTTCTAATTATTAGTGTGAACTGCCCTGGGTGATGAGAACTTTCTTTTTTGATGCTATGGCTGCTAAGTAGCTTCTCATCTACATGTGTAGGTAGATTAGTATGAAATTTGAGTACTAAAATCACTATTTTAGATGAAAATAAAAATGTTTCATTTCCTGTTCTAATGCCAGGAGAGTGAATGCTTTGTGGCTTTTGGCAGTTCTTGGCTGTAAAGTTTAATAACATGTATAATAAAGGGCAAAAAAAGGCAAGGATACCAATTGAAAAAGAAAAAAGTATACAAGTTCTATATACTCAATGATCTATGGAACTTGGCAAAAATAGAAATCTCCCGTCTTCAGTAGAGAAGCATGTTCTTCCTGAACTTCATAAATCTTACTTCCCTCTTGTTTAGGGCATCCACACAAGGCCACCAATCTTTTCAATTCTACTGGAGTAGGAAGACTGTTGAAGTGAATAGAGTCAGCAGAAAAAATAATTCAGCGTCAAATGCAGGGCTTGCCTATTAAGTGAATGAAAATATGACACAAATTATTTTAGTGAAAGGCATTAAAGTAAGTGCTACTCCAAAGGATTGTTTATATTTGCTCTTACATGTTTTTTATTAGGGGTTTTTCCCCCTAAATATGTGTCCAATTTCTCCAGCTTTTATGACTCATCATGTCATAGTAATGAAAACTACATACAGCTGTAGTAGAAGAAATGCTTTTAATAATTTTGCTTTTTGTCTGCCACTTTTTATAAATTCTGCAGGAGCCTGGGTTTGTGTAATGCCTCCAAAGTGTATTTTTTTTTTTTATGTATCCTGAATAGGCTACAAATTTGAATGATCATTTGTTGCAGCTGACGAACACCAGATTGGCCCATGGCTAATACCTGACACTAGGAGGGTTGTACTAGTCAAAATAAGACTAGCAAATTGATGGGCTCTGGGTTATGGTGTGTAAACTAAATATTCCCACAGTCTGATTGTGTTCCCAGTATCCTTTGGTCATCTCTCCAAAAGTGTACTGAAGATGGCATCAACATCTTTCCCTTGAGTTCCCTCATTGAGGCCAAGAAAGCACAAGGGTGCTATTGCCAAGTGAAAAGCAACAGAATCAGAAAGAGAGAGTGGGAAAATCGGTGTATATTGAATACTTCCTGTGCTAATCACTAATGCATGCTGTCTATACAAATATTATGTCATTTAGTCTTTACAGCCACCATGTAAAATGTGGATTATTGAACATACTCTGTGCACATGCAAGATGAGGTTTGGAAAAGTTAACCAGCTTGCCCAGAGTTATCATCTAATTAGTCAGTACAAATTTGAACACAGGGCTGTCTGACACCAGACCCCTTGCTTTCTCAGTGTGTTCTCCTAACAGAATGAGAAAAAAAAAAAAAATAGAGGCAAGAGTGAAAGAAAGAGCTAGGCTAAAAAATAAAAAAAGAGACTTATGAATGAGAAAATAATGGAGCAACACAATTGCTTCAGATTCTTTTCATGTCTTTAGGTATCTCTCTTTTCCCAAATTAACTTTATTTTCCAGGGTCTAATAATCTGGCATGCAAGGCAGATTCATAAGTCCAAGGTTCATTACAGCATAGGCTTCTGTCGACCTCTGTGATATGTTATTCAAATTTTCTCCTGTAAAATGTATGGCAAGAGAGTTCCCCCCCCCCAAGGAATTTATACATACCTGGTTTCAGCCTTCCAACTTGCTCAGTGACTCAGTGGTTTTTCTCTACTATCCATTTGAATATGGTCTCCTATAAAGAGGAATGAATGCCTTTCTGCCTTTCCCTGCCACCCAACACATTCTGTTTTTCTTCTCATTTCTGAAGCAGTGAAATTGTGTACTGTATTTTGAGTGCTAATGTTGATTGAAGTTGTCCCTGAAAGGAGGTGCACTTGACATGTCAAGGAGTGAGTGATTGACAACAGATACAAGTACTTTTAGTGTCAAGGCTTTGTCAAGTCATTGTTGTGAAACCCAGCCTACTGAATACCAATAATATCCTTTGGATTTTTCAGTTCACAGATTTCTAGCTCCTTTTTCACCAGAATTTACATGTTTCTAAAGGAAAATGTAGTGTATTTTGACAAAGAATAAGAATATTTTCTTTTTGAATCTCTAACATAGTGAATAATTTTAGCAAATATTATAAAATCAGTATTTGTTTTATTTTTTCTACCTGATAATCAGAATATATTGGATTGCCTTTCCTTACATGTTTTCTGAAAATTCATTTTGTATGGAACCAATTTTTAGCGGTGAGCTATCTTTAATGGATAGTTTTTATAACATGCAGCTAAGCTTCTAAGTTGAAAATTTTAACCCTACTTCCTCAGAACGGAGAAGATGATCACCTCCATGCTAAATAAGATGATCTCCTCCTATTAGTCAGAGAGAAAATTGTTATCGTTATGGATGTTACTTTTTATAAACATTTAAAGAAATATTTTTGTTATGTTTCCTTCTGTGATAAAATTGTCATTATTAATATTTTGATATTTTCTTGCTGTATTGTCTTCCTGTCCAGAATACATGTGTTTTATTGTAATGCCAGTTATTTCCAAACTCTGGAAGAAGTCATTTGCTATAAAAATGTATGCTGTTCTCTTAAAATAGACAAACATATACCGGGATTGATGAATCTATGTAAGCAAATCTTTCAAGAGCACATTGCACCCTTTGAGAACAATTAAAATATGTTAACCTCTGCTCAGTATTAATTGATATAGATTTTTGTCTTCTAGATCTTTTGGAAATTGGCTTTCTCCCATTGCATTTCTTATTTTACAGTTGCTCTTAGGCTTCCTTGATCAACTCGAATCCTTGCATATTTAGCCCCTAACGCACTTCTTACCATTTTCAAGATATGTAAACCACTCAGTTACTTCTCATGGTAATGGTGGGTTTTCTTGTTCTTATAGTCCTGACTTACCCGGGATTCTCTATAATGATGAATACTTTTAAATCTTACAGTAAATTTTGACTAGTAGTGATTTGTTCAGTGTATCTGGTGTCAAATTATGAATAGTCAACCTTGAAATTGGTAAGTTCACACTCGTGTGCATATAGGGTCAATGGTTATGAATAAAACATGTGCATTTCCTTTTATAGCAATTTATATGTAAAGATTTTTTAAGTTTTTCATGGTGACCACTTATTAAATTTTCCACATAGAAGGGAGTACTTGTAACCCATATACTTAGGGTCATGAAAACACCTTTTTCTCAGTATCTCATTCAACTAATTACTCTTAACTCACGCTATGAAAGTAAAAACTGCAAATCTAATTCAGATGTTTGTATTTTCTCATTTTATTTCCTTGACCTGCCTTTTTAATACCTTGCCTTGTCAACATATATGCTTTGTGCCAGCCAGACTGGCTTGTGAGGACCATCTTGATATACTTCGTTCTTTCCTACTACAATATACTTTATAAATTTGGAGGGATTTTGTTTTGAGATTATTTTAATCTTATAGAAAAGTTGTGAGACTAATACAAAAAATTCCCACAGATGCTTCACCTATATTCCCTAGTTGTTAACAGTTTACCACATTTGGTTAAAAATCTATAAACATATTTTTTCCTGAAACATTTGAGAATAAGTTACAGATACCACGGCCTTTATCCCAAAATATGTTAGGTATCTATTTCCTAAGAACAAACACATTATCTTACGTAATCACTGATTAAAATCAGGAAACTAGTATTGATACAATATTATTATCTACTCAACAGCCCTTATTTGAATTTCACCAATTGTCCAATAATACCCTGTATAGACCAAAGAAAAAAAATTCTGGTTCTGGAAGTCTAGGATTATTCTTTGCATTTGGTTGTCATGTCTCTCTAATGCCTCAGTGTTTGTCTTTCATGACTTTGATATTTTGGAAGAGTATATTGCCCCAATACTTTGATTATATATTTCTACCTTCACCTAAACACTTCCTTCTCTTTTTTTCATTTAAGTTAAATCCGTTACTCAAGACACAACACTTTAGTAAACCTTTCTGACTCCTGATGGGAAAAGCAGTTTCTATTCTACCCACTGCCTTATTTCATCAGTTGACTTTTTTTAAATGTCTCTCCAGGCCAGGCATGGTGACTCCCACCTGTAGTCCCAGGGATTTGGGAGGCCAAGGCAGGGGGATCCCTTGAGGCCAGGAGTTCAAGACCAGCCTGGACAACAAAACAAGATCACATCTCTACAAAAAATATTTTAAAATTAGCAGGGTGTGGTGGTGTGCACCTGTAGTCCCATCTACTCAGGAGGCTGAGATGGGAGGATTGTTTGATCCCAGGAGTTTGAGGTTACAGTGTGCTATGATTGCACCACTGCACTTCAGCCTGGGCAACAGTGAGATCTTGTCTCAGAAGAAAAGTTTCTCCTTGGTCATAAGTGTCCTGACTTCAGAAAAAGTTTTACACAGAGAAGTATAGAAAATTAAGAAAGCCATTGTCCGTTTTTCCTGTCCGTCTCCTTGCCTGGCTTAGCATCATTATGAATTCAGCATAGGTACTTCCAGATTATTTTATATACACATGCACTTATTTCTTTCATTTGGAGTACCTTATCTTCAGAAGATTATAAGCTCATTAAAGGTAGGAACTGTGGCTTTTGCATTTGGTTTTCCCGCAAAGCCTCACACAGAGACGGGAGATGTTCAGTAAATGCTTATTGATTGACAGAGTTTTAAAGGAAGAGTTAGGCCAGGCGTGGTGGCTTACGCCTGTAATCCCAGCACTTTGGGAGGCTGAGGCAGAAGGATCACTTAAGCCTAGGAGTTCAAGACCAGCTTAGGCAACATTAGTGAGATCCCTGTTTCTACCGAAAAAAAAAAAATAGCCAGGCGTGGTGGTACACACCTGTGGTCCCAGCTACTCAGGCAGCTGAAGGGGGAGGATTGCTTGAGCCCAGGAGGTCAAGGCTACAGTGAGCAGTGATTGTACCCCACAGCACTTCAGCCTAGGTGACAGGGTGATACCCTGTCTCAAAAAAAAATGTTGATATATTTAAATATGGAAAGTTCCTTATAAAAACCATAATTGATAATTGTACTGTTTTCTTTTTCCTAAATTTAGGTTGTTAAAGGCCTTACTTATTTGTGGAGTTTAAAGATTTTACATAGAGGTATGTGCTGGGCTTATAAGCTTGGGCTTAATTGGGTGGGGTTGGGTCTCTCCAGATACCTTGATTTTTAAAGTAAGTGTTCTGACATTTAAGCCAGCTGATATATCTGGTACTCAAAAAGATGGCTGCTTTATAAATGTTATGTTTCTTGTTTTCTCCATCAACTGCTCTCATTTAGATTATAAACTTGGTAGTGTGTTTTTGTGAATCACCTTTGTCAAACTTGTAAAAAGATATTTCATAGTATTTGAAAATAACAGGTTCTTGTTTGTCTTACTTAACTCTTGTTAATGCAAAACCTTTGCTTTCTGTACAGTTACATCCTTCCTTCTAGTAACATTTCAGATAGTATCGCACACTGTTCCTTAAGAGATTGCTTCACATACCTGGAAAGAAAAACTTTATTTTTAATTTTTTTTAAAGATGGGATCTTGCTATGTTGGCCAGGTTGGTGTTAAACCCCTAGCCTCAAGCAATCCCCCTACCTTGGCCTCCCAGAGTGCTAGGATTCAGATGTGAGCCATTGCGCCTGGCCAAAAGTAAAACTTTAAATAAGATATTGGTGAAAGCATCAGGAATAGTCCCCTTGTCCGGTAACAGAACACATGAGAGAATAATCAGATAACTGTTGAATATTGCAAAAGGAATCTCCTTTTGTTTTTTTAATGTTCCCAAAATATCTTAATTCATTTGGAGCAAATTATTAAGTGAGAAAGAGACTGTAACAAAGCAACTTCAAGGCCTAGTGTTACTAACAGTGCTATTTAATTTTACACATCTGCTCATCTTAGCTTTATGTGCATTTGGGGAATGGAACAGCATACACATTAGATATGATTAAAGGAAAGTTTTTTTTTAAGAGTGTAAACTGTGAGATGGAGAAAACAACCGATATTTTCAACTGTGATGTCATATCTGTCACTACAGGTTGTTTTCTTTTGTGGTGGTTTTAATATCCTAGTGATTCCACATCTCTTCTGAAATCCTCCTCCTTCTTTTTAATGAGGGTATCTAGATTTTGACAAATAAAATATTCAGGGTTTTGAGGGTATTTATTCTGACTAAATGAAATTATAAACTAGATTTCTTTTTAAAGCCAGTCCACTCCATTTCTAGAGTATAGTTGGTGCGAAAGGTAAGTGTAGGAAGAGTGAGTTTTGTTAGTATTACTTTCTCTGGGTATAAATAAGTGTGTGAACACATTTGGTGGATGAAAGAAAAATTGAGCATTTTTGACTACCAAGAGTAAGAGATAACAATATTTAACATTGTATAACTTATATTGTTTCTATTCCCTGTACTTTTACCTCCCCACACCCAGCAACCCATAAAGTGGTGATAGCCATTTTAATAAGAATTAACCCAATGGTCAGTTCTCAAAATTTTATTGATTTTTTTAAAATGGACATCTGCCATCCATTTGACAAAAGAACTAAAGGGAAAACATCCATTCTTAATAGCAAAGCTTTCTTTAAACGGACAGTGCCATGGAAATTCGAGTGTTATTAGAAAGTGAGTGTTAGGATCATCATGTACTCTGGGCATACAGGTTAATTCTGGCTTATAATGAAATCCCTCTCTAGCTATAACTTTGTGCAAGGAATCTTAGTAGCACAAAGAACTATGGTGGATAGGGAAATACGTTTTAGTTATTCTGCCATTATCTTGATTTTTCTTCTTTAAAATTAGAAATCATGCTGATAAGTTGATGTACCTTTCGTATTCCTCTATCTAAATTTTTTTGATTTTAATTTTTACTCTGGGTTTGGGGGAAATAACTAAAATTTTCATTTGAAATAGGATCTTGATAGACATGTTTCAAATGGATTTGTCTGGATCTAAAAATAATGTCGAGGGTCAGATTCTCAGTATAATCACTTTATGATCACTGTGACCAAACTTGGTTGACCAGAGCCTGTCAGAAGCCAGTAGGTCCTTTTTTTCATCCCTGGTTGCAACTTGGGCTAAGAAAGGGCTCTTTTGTTAGTGATGGACAAGGGCTGCAGTGGTTTGACTGATGGAGAGCATAGAGGTTTCAAAAGGGAATCCTGGGCCTGTACTTATTTTTTCAGTTGGTGCCAGCCAGCCCAATTCCTACAGAGAATAGCCTGCTGTAAAATGCCACTTGTTGTGAGAAGATATCTGTTGGGGACAGATTAGGAGCAGTGATAGAGGGCTGACAAGTCCTCTCAAGGAATTTCAGTGAATGAGTGTGCACCTACATCTGTCTTGATGGAAAGACTAACGAACTGCAGTGCAGATGAACAGTTATGTCCCAGTAGTTATGGCCACTCAACTACAGAAATAAATATGCTGTGGTAATACACCTCATTAAATATATTCATATTTAGCTTTTGAGTTTCCCAGCTATTCATGGAAACTTTTACTTTCTAGACTTAAAAGCATGTGTTTTTATTGAAGAGTCAAATAAGCCGGATGTCCCTGAAGACTTTTGTAAAGCGTTGTAATGAGAAATTTACCCTAGATTGAGTAGTTGTTAACTTAATAGTTTAGAGGTTTTGTCCATATTTAATAACTTGGATTCCATAAAAATAAGATTAAAGATGCCTTTTTATTTACCAAAAAGCTATTTAATTTTCTTCTTGATTAAAAAATTGTAGCTTTTTAGATCAGTTCAATCAGGCAATTAAAGATCAGAGCTTTTAAGTTCAGCTAAGGCAATTAAATAGGTAATATACTTGTTTATGCACTTTTGCTGTATAAGCTCATTGCTGTTCCTTCTTAAAAGCACATGTACTCATTTTTGCTTTCTCTAAATGAATGATGATGGGAATTCTAGCTGAACATGTGTCACATTGTCAAATCAAAGACAGGGGTCCTTCTGCAGCGGCTGGGGAGCCCGGTTTAGGCGTTGTGAGAGGATAGAGAAAAGAAGATGGTGAAAGAGAAATACTAATGAGTGATCTTTACCTCTTCCTCCTTTGTCTTGGTCTAAGTACTTGTGTTCTCCTCTGATCATCATTTTCTAATGCTGTTCTTAAAAAGCAGAGTAGAAAAAAAAAATTGCTTTGTACTTATGGGCACAAATTTCAAAAGATTAAGAAATGGAGACATGTTCAGTATCTAATGAGAAAAGAGAACAAACTATTTCTCACATTTATATGGCCTCCTTGGAATACAGTGGTTCTGGATTTTCGCTATAGAAAGTGGATATATAAATAGTATATTACAGAATTTATTAAAGGTAGTTAATGGCTTCCAAACAAACTCTTGAAAACCTGGAGTCTCTCCCATAGTGTATATCCAGTGAGGACTGTAGAGTAGAATGAAATCTGAGCAATAAGCAGTGGCATACCACCCATCTCGTGAGGCTTGTTAGTCTGGTAAAAGTTAGTTTATTTGATAGTATATTATGTTAATTGGAAATGGTTTTGGAAATTGAAGGATAGCAGTTGCTATTCATAATGGATCATCAGATGTTATATTCAATCAGGTGTTACTGTTGTTTATTTTGCTCTTTTTAAGATTTGATTGAGATATATGTGCAGGGACTTCATAAACTATTGAATGCTAAGAATGTGGCATGTTTTTATTATAACCATGAATTAATCACTTTATTCAGTTAATAAGAATACACCACTCCAAAAGCAAGCCAGGGAGAGAGTTTATTATACTTTATATTACTGAGTCAAAAATTATGAAAATCTTTTCTCTAAAATAAACCAAACATGATAATTCCATATGAGGACATAATTATTAAAAATGTTTGAAATGCCCACCAAATTAACCACTGCAGAAAAGTTGTCTTTATTAAAAGGCATATGTGAGAGCACTATAAGCATAGCATGTGCTGACTGTGGGTAAAAACAAAGAAAATGAACAGTGAGAAAATCTGTTAGGCCAGATCCGACATTACAGGAAACATCGCAGCTTCACTTCAAAACATACATCGCCACTAATGAGGTGAGAGCCCTGCATATTAATAAACCTACAGCTCCAGTCATAGCCATCATTACCTACATCAAACATAAATACAAGATTAACACCTATGCCATTTCTTTGGAAGATGTGAGAATGCCCTAGGAGTAACTGCTCTGTCTTTCCCTGAGGATAAAAAATAGAAATACAAAGGTAAGGAGAATAGAACTTAGATTAAGAAAATAAAATTGGCAATCATTCTGGAGCCATCTTACACAGATGCAGAAGTTTATAGAAGAAAAAAAAAAACCTGTATAATTGGTGTGCCAGGAGTTTTTTTTGTATATATGAACCTGGTTAGTTTCATTTACTTTCTCCAATAGGAGAACTTTTTAAAAATACATTTTTGCAGAAATTCTGTAGGCAAACACTGCCCAAATAGATTTGTGTTTAAAGAAACTAAGCCTTGTAGTTTCAGTGTACATGTTACTGATTTTATTTTCTACCCTTGGCTTTTCTCTTTTATAAATCTGGCCTCACACAGACTTTCCAATTAGTGCTACCTTAGATACCAAAGCCAGTGTTAGTTTGGTCATTCAGCAACGATTTATTTTATACCTACTACGTTCTAGGCACTGTTCACAGTACTTGAAAGACATCAAGACGTGAAACAAAAGATTTGTGTGATCCTAGAACTCATGTTCTAGCAGTGATAGAGTGGGTTGGGAAATGTTCCTTAAACAATACTATACACAATAAATAAGTAAAATACAGAGTGTGTTAGAGGGTTGTTAGTAATAGAAAAGAAAAAGTAGATTGAACTTAGGGGAGGCAAAGAGTAGATTGCGTATTAATCAGGAAACCTCACAGGGAAGATGAGTTTGGAAGGAAGGCTTGAAAGGGGGAGGAAGTAGTCAAGTAGATATATGGGGAAGAGTTAGAGTAGACACCACAGGATGTGCCTGGAGTATCAGGGGAACAGCAAAGAGGCCAGTGTGTGTGTATCTGAGTGTGGGGGACGAAGGTAGAATCAGCTGTTAGGAAAATGTTTTGGTAATTCAGGTAAGTTTCAGGGGCCCAGATCAGGGAGATAGTTATAAAGATGGGGAGAAGTGGTGATT